ATAAATACCTTAATGAATAAAAAAAATTAAGACAATGTCGAGTGTGAGCAAAGAAAAGTAACTGATTTTTTCAGCTCATCCACACTTCCCTTACAAAAGAAGTACACGAAAGCAAAGCGGGAGAAAATCAGATGCAAAACAAAAAGCCTAAACAACTACCACCTCCAAGTAATCGAGGGAAGAATCTTACGGAAGGAAACAAAAAAGGGATTCAAAAAAAAAAATTAAGAAAAATAAAAATGTACATCGTAAGTACTTGTACAGTTTTTTAGGTCATCCAATAGCAGAGGTGTGTCAATTTGTTTAATGTCGATGTTAATCTAGAAATTATCAACTGCAAGTATATTGATGATGACTGTCGACTAATCATTATCAATTTTAACCTTAATGATAAGATATTCAATCATATTAATGTTTACGCAACAAATAATTACAAAGGTGAACAATCTTCTTTAAAGAAAATTAACGCCCTCTGCAAAACAGATAATTTTATGTTATTATAGGTAGGGACATTAGGTGTGTTTTTGAACGTAGTAAAAATTATGTAAAAAAAATGTTGATAGGTATGATAGATTACCGGGTATGATAGATTAGCACGAGAACAAATATTTTAAAATTAAAAGAGAATGAAATTTAAGCATTAAAAATATAATTTAAAATACAAAAAAAAATGATATAAAGGTTCCACTTTGGAAACTTATTAAATTAAAATCAAGGATTTTTCATGTAGATATGGCATTGAACAAAAAAATTAAATTAGACAAAAATGTATTAAATAATGAACGAAATAGAATTTCTAAGGAAATAATTAGAGGGGGAATATAAAGTTTATACAGAATCATTGCTTGAAAAGAAAAAAAAAACAATAGATTTAACATATTTATACCGATGACGCCTATGGTGCAAAATCCTGTTTACGTATAAAATTGTTTGAAAATGAGGAAAAAATATAATAGATTTTCCTAAACCTCGAACAAAATAATACTAAAAAGAAACATATTAAATCAGTTTTTAAAAATACTGAAAAATACCAATCTGATTCAAATGAAATTTTAATGGAACAAATCAAGTTTTTCCAAAATTTGTTTTCATTGAAAAACATAATAAATGGAATTTTGCACAATACCTTAATAATACTCGTGTTAATGTTCTTTCGAAAGAGCATATAAGGAAATTCAAATTATTGTATGCGGCAAGGCTTTAAATTGTCCATTTACAAACGGCCAGCTTACTGATTCACAAAGGAGAGGGGTAGTTTCTTTACTGTATAAACGACGTGGTAAAAGGGAAGACCTTAGAAATTGGAGGCCAAGAAAGAAATGACGTAAACTTTTGTGAATAAAGAATGGTATCGTGTAACAGTACTCAAAATACTCCCCCCCCCCCCCCCCCCCCAAAAAAAAATAAATAAAAATGTATATTATCGATACCGTACAGAACTAATATTTATTTAGGCCCTACTATTACAATAATGTGTAGATACTGTATAATGATACTGTGTATGAACTATAATATTGTTTTCAATTTCATTTCATTTATTTTGTCATTAGGAAAACATACAACGAGGACACGAGAAAATACAGAAAAATAGACAGTAATCATAGCAATTGTTCAAACCCGACGGGATATACCGAAAAGCGAAACAAATCACTGCCGAGAGGTTCTCCAGGCTTAAAAACAATACATGAAAACACTTAAAATATACGGAAATATAGTAAATATATGTAAATTAAAACTATATATCCTAATTCATTAAGTACAATGAAAGATTTGCAAACAATAATTAGGAACAAAAAATGTTTAAAAATTGCTCTATTTTGAAAACCTTAAATTTAAAAATGGTAACCATTAAAAGACTTAAGATTTTTTTTTTAATGATCCAAATCGAATTCGTAACGAATATCAATAGGTAATAATGTGTCATAAATATGAAAACAATAAAACCAGATGATTAAAGATGGGTTATCCCCACAAGAGAGAGAGAGAAAAAAATCCTTAAATCTTGGGTGTAGCTTCTTTGTATTGGCCCAGCTTTTACAAATTCATGATTTTCAGCAAAACATAACAGTTGGAAAATGTTGCTCTACCGTGCTTACTCAAAAGTTTAAGGTCAATCGAATTTACGTGTTTTGTCAAGATGCTTTGGGATGCCGTAAAGGTGTGTTACGGCAGTAGTGCGACGTCATTGTTAAGATTTGTCACAACGTAATACTTCAAAGTATGTACAAAAAAATGTTTATTTGCCGATGACTGCTTTTGCACATTTTTGCATTCAATGATTTCCTCAGAAGCATTTGGTACAGGCATTTTAAATCTGCGGACGATACTATTTTGCACAGTTTGCAAACTGTACAGAGTCTAGTAGAGTTTCAAATTGTGCAAAAAAATCATTGTATGCAGCTTGCAAATAGTGCAAGGAGCGTGTGCAATATGCAAATTGAGCCAACGGCAATGTACTTCTTTATTGAGGAAAGACATTTAGCCTTGACATCATAAAGACACAAATATTAATATAAAACAAATGGGATAAGAAACATACAGCAGAGATAAACGTTTATTTATAAGAACGCATTTTATAAGAACATTAAGCTGGCTGGAATTACCAAAAAATTAAAAACGAAATACGAAATTTAGGCTGAGGTAAAATTTCAAATGAGGAAAATAAATAAATAAATAGATAGATAGTAAAACCAACATCTTATCTGCACTTTCAGTAGGAGTTACTATATAATACCCTCTATAATACAGTACAGATACTGCTGTACGATAATAATTTTCTACGTTTGTTAAGTGTGTAAACTATGAACAAAGAACATTTTTGAGTCTGAAATCGACCAAAAAAAAAAAAAAAATAAATAAGACGACTGAGCCTGGGAAAAATTTTACAGGTTCTTTTTCTTTTTTAAGTGTAACAATGGGAGGTCCTACAACAACAAGATTTGCAAATGTGGAGGAAACACATTTAGCTTTGACATTATATTAAACATTCTATCCGGCATGTCAACAAATCCTTTGAGTCAATATTATAGTGTTGACAACTGACAATAGGCCGATTAAGCATCTGGAAATACCAGTACAAAAACAAATATGGGGGTTTTTTTTTTCCTTATATAAATCCAACTCTTGTTACTGATCGAATGGACTGAACTTTAAATACAATTCTGGTGATTTGTTTCAGTTTTTTGACAAGGCATCCAATTAAAAGGTCGTAGATCGCATCCGCTGTCATGCTCTCGCCAGCTGTTTTTGTGTATACTTTATGCAGCAGAGCGTCCGAGGTAGGCAGGGTGATTGTTTCGCGAACCTACCGCATTCTTCTTTACTTTTATCCCGTCCACCAATGCCATTAACTCTCATGACAATGCATTTTAATTCATTCACAATTAATAGACCTGAGATACGTCAACATCTCCGTCAGAATAATTTTTTAACAAGTTTGAAATAATTCCAATAAAATATTATATTTCACAAGTGTCAATACTAGCAACGGAATATCATGTCGGCCGTGTTGATGTCTGATAACAGAACCTTAATCGAGTTTAGCAGTGTTACCAGACTAATGTTTCCGGGCCTACTATAATATATTAGACCAATCGCAAAATTCAACACAACAAATTTCTTTTCCTTTATTTTTGTTTGGATTTTATAAATACATACACTAATACATACACTAAAAAGAATCGAAAAGAAACACTATGTTTAGGTGCAAACACATGCTACAGTATGTCAGTGGAGGTGTACATGTGTACACCACTAAGATTTTGTGTAGTTATTTTAAAATTAAGAAAGCATTAATAGTAAACAAATTAAATCAAAAATATAACTATAGAAATTGCACTAGAAGTATATATACTTTTTAACATTATAAGCAGACTATTCATGAACTAAAATTCAAACTAAAATATTCAATGGAATAATATAATTTATACTTTTTTACAAATACCACTGTAACAGCAGGAATAGGCCTATATTATGAATAATTCAGAAATCGATAAATAACTTATGTGTAGGCTACAGTACACTTGATTTTTCACATCTGGAAACTAACTGCAAGAAGAAAAGAACATTGTTCCTCAAAACTTTCATACAAAACTACATACTGTACTAAGAAAACATGCTAAAATAATATTCAAATTAACTGTAATTAAGTTTCTCAAACAATAACAATACATAATAACCATACTGAAAATAATACAATGAAAAGTAATATGATTAGTCAAGTATCGCAAAAAAGACAAAATAATAAAATTAATAAGTCTAAAACACACCTCACCACCCCCCCCCCCCCACAAAAAAAAAAAAAAAAAAAGAAAACTCTAAAAAATACAGAACCCTTTAAATATTCCAAACATCATAAATAAACCATTAGTGCGTACATCGGCGTTCCATACTGTGGCTGTTTCTTATAAGACGCGACCCGAAATGAAATTTCAAACTTCTCATCAGGTAAAACGGAAATTCCGTATAGTTAGGCCTATGCTACGGAAATTTGCCTAATTACGGAATAGACAAAAATATTACGGAAATTTATAGGCTTAGACCCTTAAATATAGCTCTAATGTCCACAACAAATGAGTTTTCCATCATCAGGATCTTTGTTTACATAATTGTCCCTAGACAATTTTGATACTGGGCTTAATTACTGATAAATTATTTTGAAAACTAAGAAAGAGTGAAAATGAATCTTCATCCTGTCCCATTTGTTTGAAATTCCACATCGAATTACAGAAAATAGGGTCAAAAAGACGACCGGGCCAATTTTCAGGACGACGGACCTGATCGTCCTGAAAAGTGACCCATGAATCTTCATTCTGTCTAGTTTCTTTGCAATTCCACAGCTGTACTGCAACTTAATGGGCTACGAAAATTTTTCATTTTCTACAGAGAAATCTGAAGACAGTTACGGAAATGCATTTTACACTTGACAAAACCGAAATTTTATAACAAACACAAAGTTTGTTTGACTTAATCCAGGCAAACATAATCAAAAGTTTACTTACGAAAGGGCATCTCTGATCATTTGCTTCAAGTTATCCTTGTCGTAATGACGAAGTATTGACACCCATCGTTGCTCATCGGGAAGATCCAAATCGAAGTTATACCTCGGCGGAGCATCGTAGCTCGGACGCGAACTTTTCGTCATATTAGGCAGAAGAGGTGGAGAAGTGATGAGAAGCGATGACGATTTGATAATGTAACTGTGAATACATGTTTGTGTGGATGTAAAAACTGCTAGAAACAGAATTTTTGTCTTCCAAGCCTCCATGATTTCGAAGGAATCTGAGAATTTATAGGCCTATACGAACTGTTTGACGTGACAGTACTTCACTGACATGTAGGCCTAATCTTATTGTTATGTCGTAGCCGCCTTAATGAAGCTTTGTCACATTACATATTGTTATGGGTAATCGTTACATGATCACGTGTGTACCACTAATCACATGACCACTGTGTTAACCGGGGCTCTTACACCTATATTTTAAAACATTGAATTGCCCATTCGGGCCAGCGGTAACAACCCAACCAGTGCAAAAAATATTATTTTTATTAGCACTATTGTTATAAATCACTGCAATCGATAGTAAGTTCTTGTGCATCGCAGTAATCAGTTTAGAATTGTAAAAAAAATTAAAGAGGTTCATTAAACTCCACCGGAAAACATATAGTCCTATTTAGAGCTGATTTTTGATAAATTTTGTAAACTTTATGCCAAGAGAGTTTGGAAAAAGAGATCAGAAATCAAACATGTTCAATCCTTATTTTAAATTAAGTTCTGAATTGCTGAACATTGTGTATTTTTTTATGTAGCTAATCATAATTGTTATTTACTTGGAGACAGGAGAAAGCTCTTTAAACTTTCTTGGATTCCAAGGGCTACCTGCTCTCTCATTTCTGTGGCTTACTTTTGTTTTTAGTTAATAGTTCATATGTGTTTATATGTATATTTTTTATGCATATTTCTCCCTTTTATGTATTTGTTTACTTAAGTTTGTACCTTTACGAACGCACCGATTGTCATCGAGTGCCACCGATCTAAAGGTGTAAGTTCAAATAAGTAAATAAATATTATATAATGTTAGTTTCTAGGCAACTGTAGATAGGCGTTCCAGGTACAGTAAGTGAATTATATTAGAAAAAAGTCTGAATGTATGTATTTAATAGAAATATTGATATGCTATTTATATGGAAAATATATATAAGAATAATACTTTCCTTCATTTCGAACTATTTCTCTGGAATGAGATGAATAATTATAAGGGGGGGGGGTGTAGAGGAGGAAAAATACGAGGATTGACTAAAGTTGTTTAGGGCTCCCCTGTTGGGTTCAGAGGCATGAGAAGCTCCGACAAAGTAGCATTTTGAGGCCGTATTTCGTAGATATCTGAAACCCATAATTCGTGAATCTATTTATAATTATTTCTATTAATTAGGTCTAGGTGCTGTTAGGCCCTGGTATTCTATCGGTCGAAACTTAAGTTAGTTAGAGTCAACAAGTTATTTTGCAGGGTCGCCAGGTGTTTAATGTTGTCGGTGACTGGTAATATAAGGTGTCATGTCTTCCTTTCTTTGTGCAAGTGAACTGTTTGCGAAGTATCGTTTCCTGAATTAGTCTTTTTTCCATTAAGTAAAACTATGTAGAGGTAAAAAATATGTCTACTCATAATACAAGCAAGTATATGCAATGATAACATTTTTAGGTTTGATCTGCTATGTAATAGGCCTATTTAGCTGAAAAGACTACCTATCTTTATGCAAATGTTCTTTATTGACAATTTTGTAAACAAAATTGAAGAGGCGTTTGTCGACTGGATGGTAACTAATTAAATTCTAGGTGTTCTGGGTGGGGGTCACTCCTCCTTCATTGGCCCAGAGTAATGTTTTCAAACAGGCCAGCATAATTTGCTTCGGGGTCCAAATTTGGCCCGCGGACTGAATATTAAAGACCAGGGTATATACTGTTAACAAGCTTTAAATTATTTATTTTTTGGTGGTTAGAAGACAGAATCCCAAGGTCCATCAAGCAGACCAAGTCAATCAGACTCTAGATGTTGTAAGGGGAGGACAAAAAGAAACCATCTCTACCACGGAAATTGAGATGAAAGAGAAATGTGGTATGATATTTTAAAAATAAAACAAATACTATTCACAGTATGCTTATTGCTTTGTGAACACTAAATGTGCATTTTTATTAAACTCAAAATATTTTGTTATGTAAAATATGATGTATTATATTTACAGAGCATTTTATTTGGAAGATTTTGTTTTCATTAATATTGTTCTTTTTGGTATTTCAATAGACTCCAGCGGGGCACTCCACTGGTAGGCAAAAGATTCATCCAGTATAGGTCATGCACGGGAAATTAGGATACTGGTCACCTTTTTTTTCTGTTGTGTTAAAAATATGTTTTCAGCGTTTCAGCCGTCGCAATGTAAACATTGAATGGGGTCTATAAACATGAGGTAAGTCTACTTCTTGTGTTGTAAACATCACAAATCTCGTTGGAAATAAAAGAAATCTGTAATTTAATTATACTTCACCAAATGTATACTGTTACAAATTACATTGGCATTGAAAGACTTATTTAATGCTCAGGAACGCAGTGATGGCATTCCGTACACACAAATGAATTAACATTTTATAAAGTTTTCACAATTAATAGGTTTTAGAGATTCAATAAATAAGGCAACAAAACAAAATGCTAGCCTACTTTTTCGATGTCGGACTTTGGGAGGCTTTTCACCCGGACCTCACCAGAGGTTTTTTCTCGGACCCTGCCAGTGGCCTTACCGGCCCAGGCACCAACTCTAGGCTCGCTTCGCTAGCAAATACACAACTTCCATCGAATATGACTTACGGGCCTAGTTTGTAAACACACTACAATATTTAAGACTGTACAAGCGATAGATCTAAAATTAAACCTCGTAACCAGAACTACCAAAAACCTCTCAAGATTTGTTTTAAATATTAGCTCTACCAAGTTTGATATATCAGTCCATTAAGAAAGAAAAAACTTTATCATAGACATATTAAGATTGTAATATTGCAGAGTCTTGATACCAGAGACCCGTGGTAGAAGCCCATTGTTAATCATTGACGTAAACACAACTAAATGGAGGTTATTCTAGATACATCGTCAATAATTGGTACAGTACTTGATTTTGCATAATCGACAGTTAATAAACCAGAACATGGCTTATAAAAATACTTTTCGAAGTTCAAGTCATACAGACTCCCTGTACCGCAACATTTTTTTCTATGTTGTTTGTTTTGTCCACTGGTTTTCGTCAATAGCCTTCTTTAAAAAAAAGTCATGTACAGTACATTATACACCGACTTTTGTGCCGCCAATTTCCGTCTATGTATTGTTCAGATCACTGTGATTCGTTAATAGCTTTCTTTAGTTTACATGAGTAATAAAAAGTTACAAAAATACATTTAGATATTCCTATGCGTATATAGGTCTACTCTGTCAATCCAGAAAACGTTTTGTATTTTCAGAAAAGTAATATGTCGAGAATGGAAGCGTACGATAGGTTTTTATACTGTGATTAATTACAATGATAAAGCGACCCACAAAAGATAACTTACGACTGTTAAACTGACGACATGTCCACACGTCACAGGTCATAACCGCTGGCATAGGCCTAGTACTATAATTTGAAATTGCCAAAAAAAAAAGAAAGAAAGAAATTTTCAAATAGGAACTCGGCGGAGATTATCTTTGGCCCGTAAGATCAATTATAACAATAATTTGGCCCTTTAAACAAATTAATTAACAACCAGGACTATTAAATAAACTGTAGATCGGAGCGCATTTATTATAATACTGTAGTTGTTGTCAACCTGACAATGATGACTAAAATTTCCACCTCTAAAGATTTGTGCGATTCGCCGTTTGCTTGAATTAATAGATCAAGGTTATTGACGTCCGCCTTCTAAAATATATTCCACTCCAACTGTCTGCTATAAAGTGTTCTTCTTTTGTACTATATTTATTATCTTATTGGAGTTGACGGTGATCTGAGTTGGATTTTGGTTCGAGCTAGTTTGGTTCAACTCCAAGTTGGCTTGGTCTCAGTTAGGTATGGTTCGTATTAATCTGATCCCAGTCCGAGTTGGTTTATGGCCGAGTTGGCAAATACAGTACTGCCTGTTATTTTATTATTTTTCCAAATTAAGCAAACTGAATGTCTCTTCCTCCTGATGTACAACCTGAAACACAATTTCCAATAATTACGCATCGTTTGTATAACATAATACATTATATATCGTATATAATTTATATAGCATTAGGCCTATAATATATCAATATGTAGACTTAGATTAATTATTTGGGTTTTTTTTAAATATTTTAAGTAGTAGTTACAATAAATAATTATATTTGTTTTGCTTAATAGTCTATACTACGCCTAAAAACAGCCTCTTCTGGATCGTATTGTAGTAAGACGTAATGACATCTACATCGGAACATAAAATGTCATTAATATACCCTAGTAAATATGGTTCAAAAGATACCAAAATATACATTTAACGTGCACGAAGTTAACATGTCTTTAGTGTGCAGTTTTGCATTTCGCCTTCTAGTAGAAACACAAGGAAAGCAGCTATGGAGCCGAATAAAAAAGAAAACAAAAAAAAAAACAAACATAGATTTCTTTTGGTGCATCACTTCGTTTCAACAGCCATTAAAGGCCAAACAAAACGGAATTATAACTTTTATGACTACATGTATTAATCCCTAATCATATTTAATAACTCTAGAATACGGGTAGGACTAGTAACTTACATCACGGCGCATTTGTAACTGTAAGAATTTGTTTCGTTGTAAACATTGCACATCTCCATCGTCTTCGAACTTGACTACTGCCATCGACCGAGATACTCCAAGAAAAGCTAGGCCCATGGAACCGAGGACATGTAGAATGACAGCTCTTTTCCATACAGTTTCTGGATAAATGTAGACATCACTCAAATTCAAAATTCCTCTCCATATATTCATTGTAGAAAATGAAAATGATATATTTAGAAACTGATAAAGAAATAACTTCAAGTAGAAAGAGTTGTCGATCTGATCAAAAGAAACCCGCATAATCATTGCTCTAATTGGAAGCTGGATTAAATACGTCACATAACCATAAATAACACATACTGTTGCAGATAGTTTAATATTGTCAGGAAACAGAAGTTCATCTTCACAAGTAAAAGCAGTCCACCAAACAGCAGCGTACGATGTGTTTATAAATCCATACGATACGATAATATCTATAACGTATATCATAAAACATTTAAATGTATTCCTACATGTACATGCTTGTGATTGGAGACGGGAATGGAACACATGAAATGGTTCAGTTTGCTTGTCTTGAGATATTCTTCCCGGAGGAAATATCAAGTTGGAAACATTTCGAGACACAATTAACACAACAAGACTTAAAAGCCCTACAATTGGTTTTAAAACCAGAGAGGTTTCTATATTTAAATCTAATATGCCCCAAATTCCTCGCCAAATACAAACCACAACAACGGCCGCCACATAGTAGTATAGTTTGGTGATAACAACGGTTTTATTTGATTGTTCAATATTGGCAACTTGGTCCAGGCGGTCAGCAGTAGAGTTGCATGTGACCATATACAACAGAGCAACAAATATCTGTAACATCAGACTGAGGTTAGACTGTACTGGTAAGAGCAACAAGTCAAATAATAACCATGCACCATGAAAGAAAAACGCACACAATGGAGTAATAATGAAACTAGTAAGACCAACATCACCTACCAAATATCCCACATCTTCACATAAAAATCCCATTGCCGATATAAAATAATCCGAGTTTATCCCAACAGTTTGTTTTCTGCTATTAAAACATAGGTTCGATTGTAGTTCTTTTGCAAACAGAAACAGATGGTTTTACGAGAATTATTTACATAATAACTCTCTACTCTATTTATTATCTTCCATTAAGGAGATGAACAAAGCAAAGTGCTCCTGTATTTAAAAAAAAATATCACTGAATAAAATACGATTCATTCTCGTTTGTAACGCGATCAATATAGTAATATACTCACGACATAATGTTCAAGCATGCTGTGTTGTAATTCAAGAAAGTTCGCAATCCTGCAGGCGACATGACCAGAAAGGATTAAAAACGTACAGAACTAAAAGGTCAGAATGTTGGGCACACATTCATGAAGCCACTTAAAAATACGAAAAAGACAGGCTATCTTGCTTGCAGGATTCTAAATGCCCCAAGAAAGGAAAACGCACACAATGGAGTAAATGATGAAACTAGTAAGTCCAACATCAAGTTACCAAATATCCAACGTCTGCACGTAAAAACTCAAATGCTTACATTAAAATTATCCGAAAATCTTTTGTGTTTATTCCAACTGTTTGATTTAGCTATGACAAATGTTCGATGGTAGTTCTTTTTAAAACAGAAACAGATGATTTTACGAAGAAGTATTTCCAACTACAGTATTAAATAATCAACTGTATATAATCTTCCAATCAAGTGATGAACGAAGAACAAAATAATCACTGAATAAAATACGATTCATTCATATCACGTTTGTAACGAGAACAATAAAGTTTGATTCACGAAATACCAGCATGCTGTACAGTAGTAGTTAAAGAAATTACACAGCCCTGGGAATATGACCAAAAAGGATTAAAAGCGAACAAAAGGTCAGAATTTATGTCGAGAAATATGATCTGAGTAAACAAAATTGAGGATGGTTAGGGCACATTCTCAAGAAGGTAATCTAAAGATTAAAATAATGGCTATCTTGCTTGCTATGCTATATTGGTGCAAAAAAAAGTGGGAACACCTTCTATAACATTAAATAGATTGAAGAAACAGCGAAGCATTCAATAGTTGGAAGACAAATAATGAGTGATAGCAAAAATTGTGTAAAGTGGGTGATTGCCGTAAATACCTTATGCGCCACTGCATAATAATTAAATCATACCAGCAAAAAAAAAATGATTATGTATTTTATTATCACTATAATTGTAATCTAAACATTATAATAATTCATATTTAATATTTGTAGAATACTTAAATTTGAATATTACTATAATCGTAAATAAAATGCAATGGCAATACGAGTGGAGCAAACGTTTGTAAATGCATTTCAGAAAAATGCAGACCATGCACAATTAATAAAAGTTACTTAGCAATAGCGGTACTTGCTTGCTTAAATTCAATTATAAATACAATATTTACATAGGCCTACATCAAATACAGATGCTGTCGTTAACGATCTCGTAATATTCATACGTATTGTCCGATGATGTGTAAATATATTGAATATCAAAATTAACATCGATACTCATGCTCATAAAACTGTCAAAATTAAATTGATGATAATGATAATATGATGATAAATCAAAAATGTTTATATAAATCATGATGGACTCTATACTGTCTTGCGGTAATGCTACTGTCTCTTATACACATCTAGATGTGTATAAGAGACAGGTGTAGCGATTCTATGAAAACCAGGCTTAACATGTTTTTAACATAATCTAAATTACACACACTGAGCCTACAAGAAGAATAATATAAACAGATTTTAAACAAAGAATTAAAACAAAATATCTAACCTATAATTATTTTATAAAATAAATTGTCCTATGGTATATTACACATTCTATAAATACAATGTTTGCATTAAAAATCAACTGAAAGAAATGTTAATTGCAACAAATTAAGAAAACTGAAGTATATTTCAATAAAAATTAAATTGCCATAATATTGGGAAAATTACACCATTAAGTTTCTGATAGAACTTGACAACCTAAAATGCATAAAAAGAACACAATTTACATAACTCATAACTTGAAAGCGAACTAAAAAAATAAAATTCAGCACCTAAATACAATACAGTGTACATGAAGAAATATTTTTCAATAACAACTATAACACGTTTCAGCCAGGCTCTGGAGAATAAACATTTGTGTTGAACAAATAATCATTTTAAGACACAAAAAGGGTGTTTGACGAAAAACTCGAGAACGGTAATAATGAGATACAGTTTATTATCTTACTTTAAAACAGGGAAGGTGGAAAGTGGATGGTTACGCTCCTTTTTCCCCCGTTTTTTTTAATCTTCAACAGTCTCTCAAATTGTTTTTACGCTGGTTGACCAAATGGCGGTCCAATTATATTTCACTAAATTCAACCTACTACCACTGCAACCAGTTAAATGGCACTTAAAAGTTAAAAAAAAAAAAACAAACAAACAAACAAAAAAAACACCACTATTTTAAAGAGTGATACGGGATGCGAGGAACGCACTGATGCAAATTTTTGAGGATATTGCATTTGCACACTCCGAATCTGACAGCTGATATAAGCCGGAGTGGGTCAGTTGAATAGCCTGATGGTTAAAGATGCTTGTCGTTCCAACCCATAGTCCTAGATTAAATTTCCGTCACGGTAACATGATTTCATCTCACGACCAAAACAATTCCACTCCCCAAGACTCATAATGTAATGGTGGTTTGTGACGAGATTGCCGCTTTGAACAGTTTGGTATACTCTTGGTCCTGTGCTTGAAGCTGATTAAAAAAAGGAATATTACCTATGATTTTGTCTCTTTTATGATATTGTAATTGTCATGATACTGTATTCGTCAGTAATTAGGGACAGCGGTGGCCACCACTGATTAGGGAGCGATCCTACAGTATCATTGAATTGTTACATGTCAGATGTAACAATGGATTTGCATACCACGAACATTTAGTGGGAAAATTAACGTCATTATTGTTCCCTCGCCTTTTTGCGGTGTATTTTCTCTATAGTTTCTTTCAAATCAATTAGTCCGCTTTCAAGATCTCCAATACTACATATAAGGTCGAAATTGTTCCGAATATTTGTAACACCTTATAATTTAATCCTTCTGCTTTTTGTGTAATTTATGCATTTTCTTTTGAACATGGAAGTACAAAATAATACCAGCAGGTCTTCGTAACGTTTCAAGTTGGCCTACGCGTGGTCAATGCTATAAATTGTTGATTTGTGTCTTAAGTCGGGTCAAATTTTATGATGAATATGCTTTCAATTTAACAGTAATTTAAATACACTGTCATTTTGTTGGATTATTATATTTTATTGTATTTATTTATTGGTCTCCCTCTAATGAAAGACCCCTCCAATTAAAGACCACCTCCTATTAAAGACCAACCTGTGGACCAACCATGGACCAACTGTTTCTGTTGCCATTAATTATAAATTTAGTACAGTTCAGTATAGGCCTACTTCATTTTAAATAAGCCCACCTTAATAACAAAATCCAAACGCGTTGATGACGATAAAGATTATTCGAATGATTGATATTACCATTTAAAAGGAAAGTGCATAGTGCATGCGTTTCAAAATTGTTTTTCAAAGTTAGTTATTCCTATGCAATTTGCTGAAGTTTTTGTTTGGTTTTGTGTGAAGCGAGTTCCATCAGCCATGGCCGGTCATTTGAGCAAAAAAGGCTTGAGGCTGTTGTAGTGTACGTAGGCCACTGTGTTCTGTGGGGATCGGAAAGCGGGCTGTTTGTGAAGTGTATAATTTCATGAACAGTAGGGCCTATATAATAATGTTAATTAATTATTACTTTATCATATATATTGGGGGTGGAGGAACCCCTTATAACAATGTTGAATTAAGGGGCCTTTGAATATACCCATCACCGTTTATGTAGGCCCATATTAGTTTATGGGAATATTTTAAAACATGTGGGTTGCCCAAAAAAGCTGAACACCACCATTCGCTCATTTTATGGATAATGTCATTACTTTAGGGACTCCCTCAATAACAAGTAACAGTGAAAATTCTAAATACCGTATTTATATTCGAATAAACGCCCTGCTTTGAATAAATTGACCCCTCGAATAAATGCCCCGTCTACAGACTCATTTTGAATAAACGCCTCCCTCAAATAAACGCCTTGCCCCTCAAATAAACGCCGCAAGGCGTTCATTTTTCTTCTTTGAATAAATGATTTTAAACAAATACCGTATAATCGAAGCAATATCATTCTAACCACACTTTATTTTAATGTTCTACTCCAACTACATTTTTTCTAACCTTGTTGCAAATGAATAAGTCTTCACGCAATAAAACATTTTGACGGTAAGAATGTGTTGTAGATCCACATTTAGGCCTACAGTGAAATTAAGGAGCGTTTATTTGAGTAAATACATGTCTTTACACAGAAAAAAAAAATTGAATAAACGCCTCCCTAAAATAAACGCCCCCTTTAAAACCCTTCTCAGCAATAAACGACCCGGGTCGTTTATTCAAATAAATACGGTAAATGGCTTATGTGATTTTAACGGTTAAAATTAATCAAATGATTGCTGGTGCCGCTGGTTTTGTTAATTACGTTACAAGGATTATAGACTTTTGTGACAATAGAAACAAAGAAACAGGTAGTTGTAAATGTACTGGTACTTACACGTGTAAAAATATATCGCCAAGGTGTTTTAGATTGTGGTATTTACTCACACAATGTCTATTATTAAATGATTTTAACAACACAGCTAATTATCGATGACCTCCAACCACAACAACTCTTTATATAATGGCCTGGAAATGCTACACATAAAAACCTAAAGGTCCACTGATTAATCTCAGATAAGATAGTATAATACATACTCCAAGTACACGCCATCGTGTCGCCGTCAGTTTGTTTATAGAATTGATTACAGTATTACACGTAAATAGTTTTAGTACAGCAATCCCTAAGTAGCTTTCTTAACATATTTTTCTTAAGATTAGTAGATATCAATTTCTTATTGTAAACCCTATCCAGAGGTGACGGAACTATGGGGTGCTGTGTTATGGAGAGTAATGTGTGACCGGAAATTATCTGCAGTCAGTTGGTTGTTACCATGCGCCAGTGATGTTGGAGTATATAGTACAGCAATTTGAAACTATTATGTAGGCCTAATGAATGAATAAAGTTCGGAGTTTGTCGGGTAGTGAAATGATTATTTTATGTCAATGTTACATGAACACCTGGGAAGGAAGGTGCAATCACGTTGTTACCTAGCAAACGTCTGTACTTAGCCTGGGTTCCAGGCCCTAATTTTAGGTTACTCACTCTTTATTGCACTTAGTGCGCACCATACCTAATTTAATTGGCGTCCCATACTCAATTTCTTTTTTATCGAATCTAACTTTAAATTAACTTTCTCGTTGGTGGCGCTGTCCAGAATGAGAAAAATAATAACAAATAAGAGACTTGTGGCAAGTCTAGTCTGTACTGTATGGGGGAGGGGCTGCTGATGTACTGTGTAGCGGGGGACGATGAGGCATAAGACTAGGCCTAACTAAGACAGTGAAATTATATGTGATAGAAAGTACACTTTCGGAAGAAATAAATTAAAATAAGAAAAAAAAATAACTAAGAATAATTCATTTGCAGAGGTACCTTATTTAAGTATTATATAATGCTAAAAATGCGGCTCTTGTAGCCCTCGCTTGGGCAAGGCATTCATGAGCAAAGCAGTGGTGTTTGTTTATCCATGAAA